GGTGGACCTTAATAAGATCGATGCATCTGATATGAGAATTGATAGAGTGTCAAATAAGAATAACGGGGCAGTGGTTATAAACGCAAATAGCGTTTCAGATAAGGACAGAATAAAATCTGCTCTAGCAGACAACTTAAATAAAGTAGTGTACGACATCACCGAACCCAAAGTTAATACGCCTAAAATTTTGTTAGCGCACATAAACGCTGAATATTCTGAGACGGAGATAATAAATAAGATAAAAGCTCAGAATAGCTATTTAAATGATGCGAGTTTGAAATGTGTAAAAATATTTAAGTCCAGGCGCAGTGGTGAGGCATTTCCTTCATTCAGTGCAATAATAGAAATTGAGCACAATTTCTTCCTGCAGGTATTGGAGTCAAAGAGACTTAATATTGGGTGGGATCGATGCCCCGTCTATGATGGGCAAACCGTGAGAAGATGCTACAAGTGTCTGGGCTTCAACCATAGCTCTAACAGCTGTAACAAAAAGCTTAGGTGTAGCAAATGCATGGGAGAGCACAAGTCTGAAAGTTGCACTGACAGTAGCCAAAAAGAAGTTTGTGGAAATTGTTGTGATGCTGTTAAAGAGTTAGGGCTAAACCTGGATGTAGCGCACAACGCATTTAGTCGTGAATGTCCTGTCTATATTAGGAAACTGAAACTAGAGAAACAAAGAGTAGGATGTTAGCAATTAGGTGTAATGGAAAAGCGTAACAGTTACTTAAAATGCGTGTATCTTAATATAAATAGTATAATAGCCAATAAAGCCGAGCTTGAAAGGCTTCTTGAGACTGTTGATCCGGATATAGTTTTATGCTCCGAAACATGTACAACAGAGGAAATAAACGACTCCGAAATCAAGTTTCCAACTTATCAGTTTATTAGATGCGACTCGTATAGTAGACACACTGGCGGGGTAATTGTAATTTTGAGAGACACAATAGACTTTAAAATAATAATAAATAGATCCACTGATAAAAATGTCTGGTGTATAGTGGTACAATTGAGAAATTTTGAAACCAAATGGAAAATCGGGGTAGTCTATCACTCACCCAGTTCGAGTGATGCAGATTTTCTGACATATATGGAAGCCATTTTGTCCGAAACATGCGCTAACATGGTAAATACCATTATTATTGGGGATTTTAATATAAATATGAATATATCATCGACATATAGTAGGAAGCTTAATGAGATATTCTCTCAGCAGGCAATGAAACAGTTAATCAACTTTGATACCAGGGTTACTGCACAGTCCGAAACGCGCATCGACTTGTTATACTCTAACACTAATGAAGTTTCATGTGAAAAAGCTGAGGAACATAGAATAACGGATCACGAAACCATAATGTTCAAATGCAATATAAAAAAACAAGGCGAAATCAATAAACTCTCTGAATTAATTTCTTGGGATGAGTACAGCCCAGACAACCTCATAAATCTTTTGAGACAATGCCACTTTGCAAACCTGAATAGTTTCAATATTGATGATATGCTCGAACATATCAACCTTTGTTTGATTTCGAGTATGAATCAACTAACTTCTCGGGTACAAAGGCGGGTTAAACTTAGAAATAAATGGTATGATAGACAACTGACTGACACTAATAAAGAAAAGTTTAGGTTACACCAAAGGGCAGTACTCACAGGTGATTGGGTAGATTACAACAAAATAAAGAAAGAGTATAAGAAAATGATCAAAATTAAGAAAATTCAGTATATGGAACACAAGGTAGAAAATAATAGAGGTGATAGTCGTTTAATGTGGAAATATTTAAAGAATATTCTTAATAATACGGGTAACAGAGACAATATCAAAGAAGTTCTCATCAACGGAAAAATATACAGAAATAGTATGGTAATCGCCGAAGAACTAAACAAGTACTTTGTGGATAGTATCGTCGACATAAATAGTAATATAGAGAACGTAAACTGTGAACAGTTACGACAGGAAGGCAGTCGAGGCACCTTTAAATTTGAGAAAATTACCTCAGAGGATGTTATCCTTATAGTGAAGAAATTTAAGACTAAAATTGGTGGAAATAATTTATTATCTGACGGTGTTATAAAGGATTCAGTTGAATACATGGGACACTTTTATGCCTTATTAATAAATAAGAGTCTTGAATCAGGAACAGTACCAAAAGAATGGAAAGTCTCGACCATAGTTCCGGTAAAAAAAGTGAAAAAACTGTAAAAGCCGAGGAAATTTGACCAATTAATACACTGCCTAGCATGGAAAAAATCTTGGAAAATGTGGTAAAAACTCAGTTGGCGCGCCACATTGAAAGTAATAACATACTCATTAAGGAGCAATCAGGTTTTAGAGCTAAACACTCTTGCGAGACTGCGCTAAATTTTGTTATATCCCAGTGGAAGGAAGACCTTAACTCGAAGATGAATATCGTTGCGGTTTTTATTGATCTCAAAAGAGCTTTCGAGACCATTGACAGGGCAAGAATGTTGAAAAAGCTCGAATGCATTGGTATTGAAAACACGGAGCTTAACTGGTTTCGAAGCTTTCTCTCAGATCGTATGCAACAAACTGTAATCGAGTCAAGTGTGTCAAATAAAGTGGCAGTCAATATTGGGTTGCCGCAGGGATCGGTATTGGCCCCAGTACTTTTTAATATTTACATTAACGACAAAAATATGGCACTCAAGCACTGTAAGTTAAAACTGTTCGCTGATGATACACTGTTAACGATCAGTGACAGAAACTTACAGACTGCGATGACTAAAATGCAAGAAGACTTGGATTCTTTGTACAAATGGTTGTGTTTAAATAAACTTAAGTTGAATGTAAAAAAGACACAGTTCATGATCCTCACTAGAGCAGTTAATCTTGGAACCACCAGTTACAATTTAAAAATCAAAGAGGAAGAAATTGAGGAAGTTAAACTCATTAAGTACCTGGGTATATATATAGATAATAAACTTAAATTTGATGAGCATGTTGAGCATACAGTGAACAAAATTGCAAAACAAATTGGTCATATGAAAAGATCTTGTAAGTATCTGAGAAGAAGGTATAAAACCCTGGTCTATAGATCTATAGTAGAACCACATTTTATATACTGCCCAACAATCTTCTTCTTAGCAAGCGACGCAAATATCGAGAAATTGCAAAAAATGCAAAATAGAGCTATGAGGTTCATATTAAATAAGCGTTACGATACACCTACACAGGAGATGATCACAGATATGAATTGGTTGAGTGTTAAGCAACAGGTTTTCTATCATGCTATGAAATTCGTATACAGCATAAAGAACGGTAAACTTCCAGACTATCTGAGCGACAATCTTCGGTATATAAATGAAACTCATTCATATATACTCAGGGAAAACAATTGCTTTAGACTCCCACTTTATAGAACAGAGGTAGACAAAAAAAACATATTTTATAAAGGTTTAAAGTGTTTTAATGAGTTACCGCCACATGTAAAAGACTGTGATAACTTTGTTGCTTTTAAAAGACAACTATTTGATCACTGTAAAACTCTGGCTATTAGGTAGGAGAGCACGGAACGGAATGGGAACCAGGCCTTTCCATCCGACCAAGCAGCAAATGATCTAGCATACGAAAGCTTCCGACTATGCCCAACAGCCCGACCATAACGCGGAGCGGAAACTAGACCTTTCCGCCCGCCTCACATCACGGAATCCAGCGTCAGGGTTTGCATATTAATGACGACGGGAACATGGATCGGAGACTCGGCCTTTCCGACCGTGACTATCAACTCGTGAGCAACGCGGAGCGGAAACAAGGTCTTTCCGCCTGCTGCACATAGTACATATTTAAAGGTAGACTGGAGACTAGGCTTCGCCAGCTACCAAACTAGTTAGACAATATACATTTATATAGGTTATTTGATAGTTTTAGAAACATAAACAGCTTTGTAATTGAAAATTTAAACTTACATATACGCATACTTTGTTATATATTAAAAATACCTATCTGTACTTTTAAGTCGCAAGACTGTAACAAATAAATAAATAAATAAATAAAATAAATGGAGGAGTTATGATAAAAGTCCTCATATCTGAACAATCAGTTGTATGGGGGCTGCAGGTTATAGTGACCCGATCTTGGTTATTTTGGCTGTAAGTCTTCTGTTGATAATGAGTGAAAACAGCGCGAAATTTCATGGTCCTAGCTACATAAATGGATGAATTATAACGAAAAATCTCATATCTGAACAATCAGTTGTATGGGAGCTATAGGTTATAGTTACCCGATCTTTTTAATTTTCACTATAAGTATTCTGTTGATAATGGGTGCAAGTATTGCGAAATTTCATGTTCGTAGCTGCATAAATGGAGAAGTTATAATGAAAAATCTCATATCTGAACAATCAGTTGTATGGGAGCTATATGTTATAGTGGTCCGATTCTTCCGGTTCCGATAAATGATTAATACATTATAAAAATACACCCACCTACCAAATTTGATCCGGATATCTCGAAAACTGAGAGACTAGATTGCATACAAACAGACAGACAGACGGACAGACGGACATGGCTAAATCAACTCAGCTCGACGTTCTGATCATATAAGTATACATTTTCATGGGTCTATCTCTTTTTGTTCTGGTACTTACAAACATCGGACCAAAGTTATAATACCATTTCATGCTCATGAAAGGTATAAAAAGCCTTTACTAACTTTTTAACGCATGATTTTACAATTTCTAGTCTGTTTCCAATAAATTTCAATTTCGATAACGTTGCTGTAACTGGCCCTGTGAGCAGAGCACTTTCGTGCCATTCGAGAGATTCGAGTTCAATCCGCGGAAACGGTTTTTTATTTGTTTTAATACAAATTTTTTTATTTAATTTTAAAGTTTTAATGTTTAAAAAAATAAATATTTTTTTAATTTATTTAATGTTTAGAAACTTTTTAATTAAGCTTTTTTCTTTTTTCACTTTGATTTTCTAAATTTTCAGTTTTTCTTGTTTAAAAAAAATTTTTTTAATTTTTTTTAATTTTTAGAAAACGTATTGGAAAACTATAAATGGAATAACACTATCCTCCTGGTTTGCAACTCTTTCAATTAGTCATCCGAAATACAGAAAAGAGCTTTTAAGATAGTTGCCGGAATATAAAGACTTTTTGTCTTTCGAAGGACTGAGGTGAGTTGAAAGACCGATGCCAGAATTGGCATGTGGTTTTGTTTTTTTAGAACAGTTTGTAAAAATTAAATGAAATAAAAAATGAGTTTCCTTTTTAAAACAATAAATTCTACAAATAAAAAGGAAATTAGATTAAAAAGGAAAAAAAAACTAAATAAAATTAGTTTTTAAAAATTTAGCAAGAAAATAAGATAAATAAAAAAAGGAAAAAGAAAATTTTCTTGCTCTAGGACTCGAACTCGAATCTCTCGAATGGCGCGCCAGTGCTCTGCTGACTCAGCCATTGCGACTGTTGAGGCAATGCGCGCAAAATGATACAAGTACTTATTTTTATATTTTTGATTTCAAACTGAACGAAAAAAGTGAGTGATGCCACAAAAAAAGGGCCGCAACTGAAGCCATACTTAAATTTTTCATTTCATAATTTTTGACTCTGAGGGCCAATTTCAAATGAATATTTAAATGGCACTTAAGTTTAATTGTGGATTGTTGTTTAAATGCCATTTAAGTTTCGTTGTGTTTCAGATCCACTTTGTTTAAATATGCCAAACAATTGGCAGCACTGCTGCTTGTTCCTTGAAATTGTTGTTGCATTTGCTCATTTGTTTACATTTTGTGCTGAACAGCTGATTGTTTTTTGGTGGGATTTGATGGGATTGATTAAACAACCTACCAATCAATCTTGGTTGTTTGGTACAAACACAGGGTTGCATATCTCATATTTAAATAGCCAATATTGACCATTTAAGTTCAGATTCAATGCATGATCTGAAAATAAATGGTGGAATATAATCAACACTTTCTACTTAAATGGGCCACCCGAAATTGGGCCTGAGAGGAAACATTAATTAACTGATTTAACGATCATTAGTTAAGTGCCCGTTAGAGCTAATTTAATGAACGTTTCTGAGTGCGGCTGTAAAACATTAAAATCTAAAGGTTATTAAAAAAATAAAACTAATAAAAAAAATAAAAAAATACTAATAAAAAATCCTCTACGCCCGAGGAGGACTCGAACCCGGACCCTTTCGACAGGCAGCTTAATGCTTTGACTGAATACCCAATTAAAACCAAATCACTAATTGCTGATCTCAAATTTAGTGACTTGAGATGGGACTGAATTACTGAGTTTATTTCTATGTCACAGTCACTTTCTTCTTCGTTTTCTTCTTCAAAATTTTGTGGATTTAGCGGGTTTTACAAACTGCCAGCAAAATTTGAGAATTGTATAAATGCGTCTAAAATGTTAGTTTTGCAATATCGTAGGAACAAGGATTTTTGAATTTTTTCATGAACAACGGATATTTTTGCATTTGCTGTTAAAAATGTAAGGGGTTGCCCCTTTACACGAGTATATTATGCTTTAAGATAGTTTATATAAGAATTTATATACACTTAGGTCTTTTTT